TATAAAGCTTAATTCCCCCGTGCACCATTCTGCACACACAGTCTCTGAGCATGCACGGGTGCAGGCAGCAAACAGTATGTTGAAAGCAACCACCAACTGCACACTGAAACCATTATAGACCCCTAATGAAAAGCTACACTGAAGTCCCTTTAAAATGTGAATAATAGTCAAAGAGTGGATTAGCAGTTGGATTTTAACCTCTATGGACATAACAGCCTTTTTACACACATGGAACAACCATGAATGATTTGGCTTTCAAAGTATCAAACATTTTCATGCCATTTCAGGGTGTAATTATTTTCTAACTTTCCCAACATCAAGAGGTGCATGGTCTAAAATGAAAGGGGCACAAAGACACTATTCTCTGGAAGAGATACATTTAAACTGCCTCTCTTTTCAGCAAAGCACAAGCCAGTATCTAGGACATACCATGGACAGTGATGATCCATTTTTAGGACACATCTGCAAAAGGACAATAAAGAAAAAATTGAAGGTTTTTGTTTGGTACTTAAGTGCCAACCACAGATCAACAGCAAAAGCCTCAGGTTTTTGTGAGATTCCTACATGACACAAGCTCAGGATGATGCAGTCTCTTGGCATTTTTTAAGGTAGGTATCATTTTAAGATGGAACATTTACTACTTTTTCAAGATCAACCATTGTTCTTGGTACCCTGCAAGATAAAATGACATGAAAAGGATTTCTGCTGTATAAGGCTTAAAACCTTTGGAAAACACCACGGGTAAAGGTCTGGAATAGTAAAAAAAATGACATATATATTAAAAAAAGTCAAACCACACTTTGTTTTAACTGCCCAGGTTAATCAGTTGATTTTCACTCGCTGGCATTGCTTTCTAGCAATTTTAACACTGATACAGGTGTGGGAACTGCAAACACTTCAGCGCCACAAACAGAAATGCCATTGCTAGTGCTGTCACACACTGTCACTGCTCTGCAGACCACAGCCGGCCCAGAGGTACCAGGGTACCTTCATGTGTAAAGGCCCAGCCCATCCACATAACTTAGTGTTGACTATTCACTTCAGTGACAAAGCACCCAGTAACTTACATGGCACAAACAGTACAGTGGTGACAACGATCAGGCTTTATCAGCTGGCACCGATCACAGAACCGAATACCTGCAATTACAAACGTATTAATACCAAATAATAAAGCTGTTCTGTTCCCACATTAGTTAATATTCCCCTCATTTCCAAACAATTCATGTTCTTTCCTCTGTCACTTCAACAGATCAGCACATTTGCAGCTGATTTGTGCCGCCAGGTCACAACCAGAGAAGCAAAGCTCATAATTCTTCTGGAGGCCTGCAGATGCGAGGAACGATCCCCACTGCAAAGCATACAACAACTTCAAAGTGATAAAGCAGAATTGCACACTTCTCTGTGGCTTCCACATTTACTCAGACTTTACTACATTCCTTTTGGATAATTGCCTGGACAGCAGTTCTTTACTTCAGAATTCTTTGGCTTGGAGACAGAAATGAACAGGGCAGAGCCTCTAATATGAACACAGGTTTCTGTTAAGCTTTGAAAGGAGCACAGTGTGCGTTTAATCACCAGACAGGGCCCAGAAACCTGCTCACAGAATTCCATCCTGCAGCTCTAACCTGGACTCCATTTCAGGTAAAAACAACGACCAGTTTTGTCATTCTTTTACTAAAGGCAGACAACACACGTAGGCATGTGAATGGTAAATACAAAGGGGAGCACACTGCTGCTCAAAGGCAGCACCTGGTGCTCCACTGCAGATGAACAGAAGCGCCCAGGGCTTTTTTGTTTTCCCAAACATAAAACCCGAGAGAAAAGGCTTTAAGATTATTCACACAAGGTCCCTCAGCACACGTGGTGGTGCTCAGAACACCCTGCGTGTCAGCAGTGCCATCTGCATTGCCAGCACAGGCCACTCTCGGGGAAGAGAGCCGCTGCTCCGCTGACCTCCGCTCCCCGTCCGCGTGTACACCGGCAGCTTCCTCGCGATCTCAGCCAGGATCTGCCTCTGCACCTCCGGCCGTTCCTCGTTTTCGTAACGCTCCTGGTCAGCGTAGGACATGTGGTACTGGAAGAGGGTGTGAGAGGAGCAGTCACCCGTGGGTAGCACAGAGAGTACTTCAAACACAGGCAGATTTGGCAACATTTTCCCTCCCACTCCTTCTAATGAGATTAATCTAATGTGAAAATGTGTTTGTTAAGAAGGTGAAGAGACAGTAAGTGCTGGACAGCCAGAATACTATGTGATGCAGCAGTAAGAAACAGGAAAGTGAAATTAAGGATCACAAACCAACAAACCAGAATTGCTACTACTGCTGCCTTAGATTTCATGGATAACATTACTAACCATGATAAGGTCACTTCAAGCACTTCCCTTGTGAGCAAGAGCCTGTCTCCAGCCATAATTCTGCATTTCTAAAACTGGGATTAGTTGGTTTTTATAAACTTTCATTCTTGTAATTAGGATGTGAATACGGCCAAGTATATCTGGAGTGCCACACAAACACCAGCCTCATTCCATTGCTCCAGACACAGTGTTCTATTAGTATTTCAGAGAGTGGTAAAACTAAATGCAAAAAAATCCACCAATCTGAACATGACAAAGTAACTGTTTGGTAGAAAAAGAACCAAAACAAACCTCTGCCTCTGACTGCCCTTGTGCTCAAACCACTAACTCATATTCTTGTCCTGAAATAACCCACCTATGTTAAAAAACAACAGCAAACCCTTAACTAAAGTATTAATCATTAAACACTGTGAACACTATGAAGAGTGACAGCCAAACTGAAGGTCCTTACTCAGGAGCTGCAGTAAGGCCAGGTGAGGGAAGGTGCTCAGGATTTGACTTGCAACTTGGTAAATGCTTAGAGATCAATGACTATAAATACGTAAGTTCATCATCATCAATCATTCTCAACACGAAAACTCCTTTTGGCTCCTGGAACACCTGCAAAGGCAGCTTTAGAAGTCGACACCACCTCTGGTTTAAATCATGCTCTTTGGGGCGTTAAAAGGATTCTCAGAACACTAAATTACGCAGGTTTTATGGACAACTCCAGGTTGTCCATCTCTTTAGGAAATCCAACCAGTTGTTCAGATCAACTAGAACAAAGGATTTCTGAGTTCTCTTTAGCATCCCTGCTTCATTCTGCCATGAATGGCAAGTGCTTGGGCTCTTACCTTTTTACCTGGCTGCACCGGGAGAGTAAAAATAGACTTCCAGTATGTCCACACAAAGAGCACAAAGAGAATATGGAATATTATAAGATAGGCCACTAAAAAGAAACAAAAACAAAACAAACAACAAACAAAACAAAAACAGAAACAGAACAATGATTTCTTAAGCAAAAGTTTCATTCACGATGGGCATCATTCCAATCTTTCATTAACAATGACCAAAAAATACAGGAGAAAAAGTTTTACAGCACTGAGCAGTATTAGAACAGAGCTAAACCCTGTGCTGATGGGGTCAGTGGCATTTCAGAGCTCTGTGGCTGCAGTTAGGGGTCACCTGTATCACAAGCCTCCCCCTTCTCCACCTGAGCTGATTCCATGGGTAAGAATACAGCTGTTAGAGACTCCACTGGAAGGACCGGATTCCTGTCTCTCCCCATATCCCAGGCACAGGCAAAGCAGATATGGCTGGTGCTGAGCAGCATACAGGTTAATACTGCAATACTCCAGCACTTCTAAATTTGGAGTTCAGTTGCTACTAAACGCACCTACAAGCACAGTACCATATTATCAGGATACTGTCAACTCGTGCAGCGCATTCTCCATCACTTGAGAGCTGAGAAATGCTCCAGGACAGCTCTACATCACCAGGAAAAAAAATCACATCTCTTCTTAAACATCTTTTAGATTTACCACAGTTGATACCATGAAACAATCAGGAAAACATCCCTCAAATTGAGCCAAATGGGTCTTGTGATTACTGAGGAAGAATTGTACTGCACCAGACACGAGATCATCACATGAAATCCAGCGAGCATCAGAGTCATCTCATTTCAAAGTGCAAACTTTATTTCAAATTGGCCTTTGGGCATAAGCAGGCATGCTGAGGTTTAGAAAGCCAAAGGACAGCAATCCTCCAGCTACACAGACCATGTGATTATTCTCTCTTTAATACTCAACTCACTAAGACATTATCAAACAGCTACCACAGTTCTATTTAAACACATCATTTAATCGCAATAAAAACACAGTTTTCCCCCCATTTCGTTTAAGCTTCAAATTCTAGAAATTGAGATTAAAATAACTACTACTAGAGAAAAGAGAAGTCTAAAACAAGCAACTTCCCAGGCAAGAGTGTCTGTGTGAAAATGTAACTGGTAAAAAGGCCAAACACAGCTCTGAGACCTTCTAGTAAGACAGACAATGATCTGATACGCCTCAAGAAACATGACGGGTTGTGTGAATGATCTGTGATTCAGTGGTAGTTCATCAGTGTGCTCTCAAGTTTGAGATGTTATCCTTACACCACATGCAGGTGGAGCTCAGCCATTTCTAAATTAATACGTAACGAGATAAATCTTGCAAAAGGTTTAATTCTGTTGATAAAGCAATACAGCAGCATGCTAGAGGAAGCTGACCTGGAGATGCACTGATAGATTAGGCAGTTAATAACTTCCTGCTGCTGAGCAATCATTAGTATCATGCTTTCCACAGTTCCTCTGTAACAGGTTCAACTATCAGGACAGCTCTGTAGTGGAAACAGAATTCACTTGATGCAGCAATGTGGAGTACCTCTAAAGCATCAGCTGGCATTGCTGGTGGTGCACGGGCATACACACATACATGTCTCAAAGAGTGAAAGGGATCAGGGCCTTCTGGTGTTATTCTCTTACGCTGAGACCAAACTGAGGCATTTCAAACACATCCAGAAGTTACAGCCTGTCTAACAGTGCATGCTGTGTGCTTCAGGAGTGTGAAATTACAGGAAGGAAACACTGAAAGGGTATGTAGGTATCAAAACATTGACAGAAAGTGCTTTTGCTATTTTACCTAGAACATCTGTGAATCTCTTTACACAAGGACTGAATGTCAATAGTAAACTGAATGCACGTACCTTTTTCTATTGGGTTGCTCAGAGTCACTGTAAATGAAAGAAACAACATGTAAACAGAGCAAATAAGATTCACAGAGAAGTTTCTGACAAATAAGTAACATTTCTATCTGAAATACAGCCATTTGGGGATAAAACCTTCAAATTCAACAGCGAACCCAAAGCTTAGCATCGCATCAAAAGCATCTATAACAATTCCTTTGCTCATGCAAATGACACCCACAGGATGTTCCGTAACTGCTGCTTATGAAGCATTTTCCCTTGTTACAAAATAGATTTTTTTGTATTTGTACATTAGAGATATGACAGAAATAATCCACTGCAGAGGGTGATGTGACACCATCACCAGGACTCCTCTTGCAACTGCCCCTGCATGTACTTAGAAGCACACACTTGTAGCCTTTGCCCTCGTGTCGAGGTGGTCTTGATCCTCCACAGCAGTTCCTGCATCAGCATAAATTACAGATGCTCTTAGTCAGCAACAGAAGATACGCTGTAATGACTCCATTATTTTTACGCTTCCTACTAATGGAGTTTTTACAACCCCTCCTGACTTCAGCATCATCATGGGAACAGTCCCCACTAACAGAACCACTTAGAGCAACCCCAAGGGGTACACTGCTCAATGTTTGCTGCTATTGATTATTTTAAAAGCCATCCTCCAAGTTTAATAGAAAAGGAGAAGACATCTTAAATTGAAAATAGAGCAGTTCTGTGATACCTTGACGAAATACTGCTTGGAAGACAAAGACTGTTCTCACGATGGGGAGACTCTTATATCACACCTTGAATCTAATGGTTGCAACTGAACCAGAGACACAGTCATCTGACAAAAATAAGATCACACTGTTGGAAGACTCAAAAGATGTGTGAGACTGCACACAGCAATAGTGGCCTCACCAGCAGCTCTGTTCGGCTGCACAGCCTTTCACTTCCAGTGCACAGCCAGTGCCTGGAGGGAGACTACTCTCCAAGACCATCACCTTACTTGAACAGCAAACTTGGAAAATATCAATCAGAGCAGGAACCACGGAGTCCTGCTCTTGCCAAGGAAACTAGCTTTTCTTTTAACCCTGCTAACAAACAATTTTGCTCTGCAAGCTCTATGACACAAAACAATGTAGGTGAAAAAAGAGACCAAGTATTTGCCATGTCTCTGCGGGCTCAATTTGAGATGAAGGAGGGTGTTAGGAAACATTCAGTTTTCCTTTGGTTTGCTGCAAATCAAACTATGACGAGTACAACAACTCTTCACGAACACTGCTTGGTCCCCTCCTGCAGTACATGGCACACTTGCAGCACAGCCTTTCTAAGGATTTTACATGAGAACAGAGCAAACTCCTAGATAGAGATTATATGAAAGGTTTTATTGCAGGACTCTGGGTCATGGTTCTCACTGTGGCAGCAACCACCAACCAGACATGAAATCAAAGCCTCCTCTGGAGTGTCACTTGCTGGCCACACTGCTCGAAGTTTAAAACCCACTATCATGAGCTACCTCCAGAGCCCTCTCAATCCTCAGCAGCCTGCACAACTAAAGATGAAAATCAAGAATCCAAAGTCAACATCTACTATTTACACCCTTTCAACTGGCAAAACACAATGGAATCCTGACGAAAAGGAAGCCAACACAGAGCCTTCCTATGTTAGAAATGTGGAAGAATGTCCTCAGAGATGGTTTTCAAGTAACTGCATATGCCAAGAGCTAGTGTTCAAATCCTAAAATAGTCATTTCACTTCTGTGCAGATAACCTCCTCCACACGCAAAGAAAACTCACAGGAGAGAAAGATGGGGCAAAAAAACAGACGGGTGTGGGCAAGGGAGTGATTCTGAGCTGTGATTCCAGGCAGTGAGAGGAACTCCTGCCAGCTCAAGCAGCATTTGCAGAGCAACACAGGCCCAATCCACACCCTGCTTCACTCAGCCGAGTCTTTTCTTACAGCTACACTGAGACTTGGAGTCAGCAGCTGTTCGGTGTTACTGCACTTGCCCAGCACTGCAAACAGAGCACAAAAGACCAGCAGCAGCTCAGGAAAATACCCTCGTTTTTTATCACACGGTCTGATTGACAGTTACCAGCACCTCGGAGTTATCCTTCCCTGTGAATTCCTGAAAGAAACCACCCAAGTTCATGGAGATGAGACCTGGAGGCCAGAGTCAAGCCAGGAAACCAAGCTGAGCTGCAGAGCAGCCCTCCTGCAGCTGGGGCACTGGGGAGCATGGCAGGGCTGTATGTGGTGCCCACAGGTGGGGTCAGTGAGGGCCACTGAGGCTAATTAAGGCTAATTAATGCGGATTAGCCCCATCTGTGAGGTAAACAGCCTCCGGGCTCAGCACCATCTCGCCGGGCAATGGGCAAGGAAAGGGGATTTTCAGTTCTCTGGCTCACCCTGCCCCGAGAAGAGCCACACGCTCCTCCTCACCATTGCAGAAGTCCAAGCTACCAGCTTTTCTCTCCACCTCCACCAGACCTTGCAACCCTTCCTTTCAGTGGCAGGATTCTGCACACACATTAAACCAGAATATTACAAACCCAAGAAAGTTTGCAACTTACTACCTAGTTCAATTGTTCAACTATGCAATTATTAACCTGTACCAAAGACTTCCTTTCTGAAGTTCAGTGGGTTTCATGCCGCTCTAAGACGTTCTCTGACTCATGACTGTGATTTAGCATAACCTGTTTATTTCCTTCTCAGCGTATGACAAAGTGACTGTAGCGCAGGGGACACACGGATTTTTGTTACTGATTAAACCAGAAATCTCATCACACGGCACCAACACGGACTTTCGCTGTGGTAGAAGCCTCCCCGCCTGCACGAACGTCGCTTCCCCCGGCTGACATGAGAACACCCCATACACGGACTCACGACGAGGGAACCCACCAACCGGCCGGCCCAGCCGGGACACGGACCCTGCGGAAAGCCAGGGCAGCGCCCTACAGAAACCACACGAGGGCCTCGACCAGCGGGTTCCCCCCCAGCCACCCAACTGGACAAGAGACCGACGTGG